GAACCCAGGGGGAGAAGGTTGCGGTGAGCCGAGATCGCACCATTGCACTCCAGCCTGGGTAACAAGAGTGAAAACTCCGTCTCAAAAAAAAAAAAAAAAAAAACTCACATTCATTCAATCTAGCAAATATGCCTTGTCCATTTCACCACCCCTAACATCACTGCTGCTACCACCACCACCACTCCAGAGACTCACAACCTCCTCTAGTCCCAGGGTTGGAATAGACTCTGGCCAACTCCATTTCCACCACCACCACCACCCTTGGGAATGGAATGTTTGTCAACTCCAGGGGCATACAAAATCCCTTCCCCATCCCCTTAGATCCATTATTCATTCATCTCATAAACACTTATTGAGTGCCTACTGTGTGTTAGGCACTCTTCTATTAATAGGTGCTGAGAATACAGTAATTGAGCTCAGCAGACAGGATTCCTAGTCTCATTAAGCTTACCTTCTAATGGGAGGAAACAATAAATAAATGAATATAGGAGGCTGGGCGTGGCAGCTCACACCTGTAATCCCAGCACTTTGGGAGGCTGAAGCACAAGGATCACTTGAGCCCAAGAGTTTGAGACCAGCCTGGGCAACATAGTGAGACCCCATCTCTACAAAAAAATTATTTTAAAAAATTATGATAAAAGATGAGCCAGGTGCAGTGTCCGTGCCTGTAATGCCAGCACTTTGGAAGGCTGAAGCAGGAGGATTGCGTGAGCTCAGGAGTTTGAGACCAGCCTGGTCAACACAGCAAGACCTCATCTTAATTAAAAATTTAAAAAATTAGCCAACTGTGGTGCACCTGTGGTCCCAGTTTACTCAGGAGGTTGAAGCAGAAGCATCACTTGAGCCCAGGAGGTCGAGGTTGCAGTGAGCCGTGGTTGCGCCACTGCATTCCAGCCTGGGTGACAGACTGAGACATTGTCTCAAAAAAAAAAAAAAATAGATGAGAAGATGCGAAGATAGTTGATGATAAGTGCTATGATGACAATTAGAAAAGAACTGGTATGGATAGGAAGTGGCTGGGAGAGAAACCTAGGTTGAGCTGTCAAGAAAGGTACCTATAAGTGCTGGGCTCGGTGGCTCACGCCTGTAATCCCAACACTTTGGAAGACCACGGAGGGTGAATCACGAGGTCAGGAGTTCAAGACCAGCCTGGCCAAGATGCTGAAACCCCATCTCTGCTAAAAATACAAAAATTTGCCGGACGTGGTGGCACGTGCCTGTAATCCCAGCTACTTGGGAGGCTGAGACAGGAGAATCGCTTGAACCCAGCAGCAGAGGTTGCAGTGACCCCACATAGTGCCACTGCACTCCAGCCTGGGTGACAGAGCAAGACTCTGTCTCAATAATAATGATAATAATAACAACAACAATAATAATAAAAGACAGGTACCCATAAGGAAGTTCTATTTACATGCAGACCTGAATGACCAGGAGTCAGTCAAGCAAAGAATCTGGGTAAAGAACACTCCAGTCAGAGGGAACAGCTAATGCAAAAGCCCTAAGGCAATAGCAAGCTCATTGTGCTCAAGAAACAGAATGAAAGTTGGTGAGGCTGCAGCGCCTGCCTGCGTTGAAGGAAGAAATTATAAGATGAGGTCAGAAAGGGAGGCCTGCCCTAGCTAGTGGAGAAGCTCATAGGACAGGGAAAGGAGTTTGGATTTCATTCAAAGTGTAATGAGAAGCCTTTGGAAGATGGTAAGCTTGGAAGTGGCACAATCTGATTTATGGTTTTAGAGGATCATGGTAGCTGCTGAGTTGAGAATAAATTGTGGGATCAAGGAATGTAAGGGAAAGCTTAGAAAGCTATTGTAGTGGTCCAGGTGGAAACAGTGGCTTGGACAAGGATGGTAATAGTGGGCAGGGCTGTTGAGAAGTGGAAGGACTCAGGAAATGTTTTGGAATTGGAGTATCCTAATCACCTGCCTTGGCTCTCTCTGCATGGTTTATTCATAACATATAATTATCAACAATTGACAAATATTTTTTGAGTTCCTACCAGGTCCCAGGCACCGTGCTATGCACCATAAGTTACAGTCCAGAAGAGAAGGCACACTCCACCTCCTCCTGCCCTTCTGCCATAGGACCTCTAGTCTGAGGAAGCTACTTCCCATCCCAACCCCACCCCATTTGCAGGGCCAGAGGCACACCCCTTACCCCACCCTAGCCACCCCTGCACTCCACTCCAGTGTCGATCTGGGATTGATGGGGTGGGGGGAGTGTTTACAGTTGGGGAATTGATGCCATAAAAAGAAGAGTCCAAAGTCCTCTTGAAGGTCTCAGAGCAAAGACCAGGAGAGCCCAAAGCTTCCAGAGTGGAGAGGGAATACAGCTAGGGCCATGAGGATGAGACACCTCTTGGTGCCAACAGCACTGATAGTCCTTCTCTGGGTTCCCAGAGCCCAGACTTCCTCAGTCTTCACTATCCCATTCTGTGGGCACCAATTCCCTCAGCCCTACCTTAGTAAATGTGTGGGTCTCATATGCCCTCTGGTTGCATAATCTTGGCACTGCAGCCCATAGTCAGTCCCCTAGCTTTTCACTGCTCAATCTACAGTCTTTTGCTCACAGCTCCAACGGGCAGTATGGGAAATTCTGGAAATCAGGGAAGGGCTGGAACACTGGTCTCTGGGTGTTGGACACATGAGCTAACTCTCCATCTAGTCTTATACACAATGCCAGATTCATCTTTTATGAGTTGAATTAACCATGTTTGAGCACCTACTGTGAGCTGATCCCAGTCACCAACAAGGGCTTAGAAGATCCAAGCTCTGATGAGGGGCCCCTCCTACCAAAAGCTGAGAGCCTGGAGCTGGGGGTGTGAAGAAGCAAAAGCAGTTTAGAATTCATTCTGCCGTCAGCAGCAGTGTCAGAAGGCTGAGCCTGACCCTCCTAGCATTCCTGCTGCCTAATTTCTCTTTGTTCCTGCCTGTTTTTTAAGCCTGATACTCTGGCCTTTCTATCAGTTCTATGAGCAAGTTATTCACTATCCTTTCAACAAATGTTTTTTCTGCTCACATTAGTTGGAGTCTGTTTCTGTTTTTACAAGCAAGCTGACTGGTATGTTGGACAATTCATCAAGGCTCTCTGGGCCTTAGTTTCCTCCTAGGTGAAAAAGGAACGATAGCGATGACTTCCATATGCAAGGCCATTTCTATTAAACAAGTGTATTAGTTCTCTATTGCTGCATAACAAATTACCACACATTTAGCAGCTTAAAGCAACGCACGTTTACTGTTTCGTAGTTTCTGCCTATCAGGAGACTGAGGATAGCTCACTAGGGTCATCTGCTTCAAGCTCTCACAAAGCTACAAGCAAAGTGTTAGCTGGGGTTTCAGTCTCATCTGTGGCTGGAATAAGGAAGGATCCAATTCCAAGCTTATGTGGTCATGGTTAGAATTCAGTGCCATACAGCCCGGGCTGTTGGACCGAGGGTCTCTGGAGCCTTTCCCCTTGGGCCTCTGCCACATGGCAGCGTGTCTTCATCCAAGCCAGCAAGAAGAGAGTCCACTAGCGAACAGAAGTCACCGTCTCCTACAGCCTCATCACAGAAGTGCCGCCCGTCACTTTGGAATGGATCAGAAGCAAGTCGCTAGGCCAGCTCACAGTCTAGGGGAGGGGATTACTTAGGGCATGCATACCAAGAGATGGGGATCATTTGTGACCACCTTGGGTTTGCCTGCCACAATGTGGTAGCTGTTAGTCATCTTTCAAGGACTCCTCAAAATCTCACTTCCCTCTTGAGGGCTTAAGTTCTTCCCCCACCCAAACCCATCAAAGTTAACCCCTCTTACAACTGATGAAACTTGAAGATGTACTGGATATTAAATGAAATTATATTTAGTTGTGTTGGGGAAGGGTAATATTATTTTGACACTAAGAAATTCCCCCTAATTTCAACATTTATTTAAACTAACAAATAAAAATTGTATGTATATATAAATTGTGTATAACATGTTTTGAAATATGTATACATTGTGAAATGGCTAAATCAAGCTAATTAACACATGCATTAATTCACATGCTTATCTTTTTTTTGGTGGTGAGAACACCTAAAATCTACTCTCTTATTTATTTATTTATTTATTATTTATTTTATTATTATTTTTTAAAGACGGGATTTCACCATGTTGGCCAGGCTGGTCTTGAACTCCTGACCTCAGGTGATCCGCCTGCCTCAGCCTCCCAAAGTGCTGAGATTACAGGCGTGAGCCACCATGTCCAGCCTCTAAAATCTACTCTCTTAGTAATTTCAAGTATACGATGCATTGCTATTAACTATAGTCACCACATTTTGCAATAGATCTCTTGAACTTATTCTTCTTGTCTAACAGAGATTTTGTAACTTTTGGCTAACTTCATTTCAGCCCAATCCTCCCACTTCCCAGCCTCCAGTAACCAGCATTCTACTGTTTCTACAAGTTCAACTTTCTTTTTTTGATGGAATCTTGCTCTGTCTCCCGGGCTGCAACCTCTGTCTCCTGGGTTCAAGAGATTCTTCTGCTTCAGCCTTTCAAGTTGCTGGGACTACAGATGCTTGCCGCCACATCCAGCTAATTTTTTTATTTTTAGTAGAGACAGAGTTTCACCATAGTGGCCAGGCTGATCTCAAACTCCTGACCTCGTGATCCATCCTCCTCAGCCTCCCAAAGTGCTGGGATTACAGGCCTGAGCCACCGTGCCCGACCACAAATTCAACTTTCTAAGATTCCACATATAAATGAGATCACAGCCAGACGTGGTGGCTCACACCTGTAATCCCAGAACTTTGGGAGGCTGAGGTGGGCAGATCACAAGGTCAGGAGATTGAGGCCAGCCTGGCCAACATAGTGAAACCCTGTCTCTACTAAAAATACAAAAATTAGCCAGGTGTGGTGGCACGCACCTGTAATCCCAGCTACTCTGGAGGCTGAGGCAGGAGAACCATCTGAACCTGGGAGGTGGAGGTTGCAGTGAGCCAAGACCGCTCCACTGCACTTCAGCCTGGATGACAGAGAGAGACTCTGTCTCAAAAAAAGAGAGAGAGAGAGATCACGTGGCATTTGTCTTTCTGTGCTGGGTT